AGATAGATAGATAAATAGATGAGATAGATAGATAGATAGATAGATGTTAACAGACTGAGATAGATAGATAAATAGATAGATAGATAGATAGATTTTCTGTAATCATGGTTCAAAATTCCTTACGAATCTTCACGGTATCTTTTCCAAGTGGCGCTATGATATCGAAGTTTAAGGTACACCTGATGCTTGTGTCAAATCTGAAACCCACTTTGGAACTACTCAGCTGCTCTAAACGAACCATGATCGACTTTGTTACTACTCTTCTCTGTTCTTTCATCTTTTCCGTATTGATCCTTTGAAATTCCTAATTATACGTTTTATGTAAGTCTTATTAGATTTTGTATTCCTTTGTGTCAAGTGTTATTCTAAAACTGAACACTAGAGAGTCAGGCTTCTGAAAGAATCAGCTCTGAGGTTATATTACTTAGGTTTAGTACGAAAATGAATGCGATATTGAAGCCATTAATATAGAAATGCAAATTACAGCGAAGCTTCAACAGCAACAACTGCAATAGAAAAAAGAAGCCCTGGTGAGTGCATCAAGTGTGACAATCTCTAGAAGCATTCATTGGTAGGCGTGTTTGGATTAAGGCTCCAAATGTTACACTCAAGATTGTCTCATGGGATAATAGCCTAGTTTATTAAAGCGTTACTTCGTGAATTTGGTTACAGTAATTGTGAATTCAATCTTGGACTCAGTGACAAGCAATTTCCGAAGAGTCTCTTCCATACAAACGTGTAAACATATATGGTACTTTCTCGTTGATGAGCTGGCTAGCTAATGAACGAGAGAGATATGTAGATAAATACAAAAAAGCTAGGGATAGAGAGAGAGAGAGGGAGGGAGAGAGAGAGAGAAAGAAAATTAATATTGTTCAAATCTTTGTATCTGTCGAGATAGCTAGGTAGTAATTATATGTATGTACGTATGCATGTATGTATAAGACTATTCATGTCTATTTAAAACTGCTTATCTTTGTGTCTCTCCCCCATATATATATATATATATATATATATATATATATATATATATATATATATATATATATATATATATATGAAGAAAATATACGGAAAAAAGCAAACAAAAAATCCTTATATACAATTATGTTGTTTTTAAAGTTAATATGTCAACGTCGGACGTTTCGGTCTAATAAACCATCTTCAGGACATATGAAAAATGAAAAGAATTCTATTTTGATCTAAAATTTATATGTACGCTTGTCGAGCATTAATCTTGCTAGAAAAGGGGAAATACTAAAGAAGCCAGGTCTAGTATTCACCGTGCGTGAGATGGATATTATGCCTGCTTCATAAATCCGCCTAAGATTTTTATTATGAAAATATTTTAAAATCTTCTCGACAAGCGTACATATAAATTTTAGATCAAAATAGAATTCTTTTCATTTTTCATTCAAAATACTCAAATTTTAGGAATACGTTTTCACAGCGTCGCCCACGTGATGACAATGTGACCATGTTTTAAACGGAGCGCTGATCTTATAAAACTTTCAGTTATTTGTTTGGATAGGTCTTGTTCTTATGTACATCGTCTTTGTCATGTTGAATTGATAATGTTAATTATATTTTATGAATATGTCCTGAAGATGGTTTATTAGACCGAAACGTCCGACGTTGACATATTAACTTTAAAACAACATAATTGTATATAAGGATTTTTGTTTGTTTTTTCCGTATATTTTTCTTCATACTGTCGTATCTATATCCATATATTTGCTTATATATATATATAATATATATATATATATTTATATATATATATATATATATATATATATATATATATATATATATATAGAGAGAGAGAGAGAGAGAGGGATGAACAGTCTTAGATAGATAGATAGATAGATACTGTATCAAAAATACTTTGGGACGGTTCCCTCACTCCAAAGCAAGGACAAAAAGCCTATATAAACGTAAGTTCAAAAATTCTTTCCCTTTTTTGACTTATTAAGTTTAGCGTTTACGTAGATGCTGTTAAATGTACAAAGATACAATCCAAAAATACTTTCCATACTCTGAGAGCGAGTTCCTGACACCACATCAAGGTAAAATGTCTCTATAAAAAGGCCATCGTTGTACATCAACACAGCAAGTCATAACAAAGTGTTCAAAATGTCCTCCACTTGATTCTGCACCCGTCGGATCATTGACTTGCGGACCCTTTCAAATACTCCCACACGGTATCGAATGGCTTCGCAGTTTTCCATGGCACGTTGATGAAGCGTCTCTGTATTATTAACGCCTGCTGCATAAACCAATCTTTTTAGGTGGCCCTACAGATAAAACCGCAAAGAACTGGGATCAGTGGAACGTGGAGGCCAGGTAACTGGTCCTCCCCGATCTCTCCATCTTTCATCGTAGATGTCAGCAAGTGTATCGCGAACAGTGTGAGTAAAATGTGCTGAAGCCTCATCATTCATGAAATACGTCTTCGTATTAGCAGGAGTACATCTTCTAGCAGGTCTAGAAGTGTGTTCGAAAATAAGGTCTCTGTAGAGAGCTCCTTTAAGACGTGCTGTGAGAAGATATGGAGCTACCAGACAGTAACCTACAATTCCAGCCCACACATTAATCATAAACTGATGCTGGTGTCTAGCCTGTATTGTACCATGGGGATTCCGTTCCACCCACAAATGTTGGTTGTGTAAATTTGTTAATCTATCTCTTCCAAATGTTTCCTCATCCGTAAACAAGACTAAAGAGATAAACAACGGATCGGCAGTTTCTGCAATAAACCATGGGCAAATGTTCTCCCCTGGTGAGTGATCAGAGGGCGAGAGATCCTGCTCATGTTGCAAATGATACGGATACAGGAGCTGCTCTTGAATTACCCTCCATACGGTACTGTGAGATGTACGACGTGCTAGGGTCACTTGGTATCTACTGATATCTGGATCGACCCCGGCAGCCTGTAGAATGCGTTAAGGCGTACGAGAGGATCTCCGTCTTCCTCGATACATAGTTTGTAGTGCTACGGATCATGTCTCGGCAACGCCACAATTAACAACACACAAGATTAGATGACTAGGCTGCCTTCGGTCTGGAAACGTAATCTGATACAGCCGTGCAACCTCACGTCCATTACCACTCAGTCTGCCATATGTAAAAATCATATCTGCGTGTCCAAGATATGAATATCCTGTCATTGTTAAACGAAACACCTCTCAGTTAAATCACTACTACATAGGTTAAACGTTGAAAACAGACTATCCACAAATATACACGAATAACAAATGTAACCTAGTCTATATAGCAACACAGCGACATCTTCCATAAATTTATTTAAAACATTATAAGTCAAAAAGGAAGGATTTACAGACATATGTTTATATGGACTTTTGTACTTGTTTTGGTGTGATGAACCCGCCCACACTTTGTAAATGTATTTTAAATAGATCATATATATATATATATATATATATATATATATATATACAGAGAGAGTAAGTTGAAGAGACTTAGATAGATAGATAGATAGATAGATAGATAGATAGATAGATAGGAACAGACTGATATATATATATATATATATTGTGTGTATTTAGGCAACATTTTTTCATTCATACATGTTTCATTAAATAATATAGACAAGTGTTGTCTATTTACTTTATGTAAATTCTTTTCATAACGTCTGATAAGCTTAATAACATTATCATTAAACGAAGAATGAAAATCACAATATTGATTCATATTTTTAATCCAATCTAAGCTTTCGGCTTACATAAGCCATTATCAAAGATGTCAATTACTGTACAACATATTAAGCAATATACGAATAAGAAAGTGATGTGAGTTTGTTTCTGTTTACATGGATGATTTCCAAGCAACAATAAACACGTGCATATAAGACACTGGAAGCGAAAATCGCACCGCAGTTCATGACGTCACACATGACGACGCGAGAGTGAATTCGAAAAGTATTAAGTATGGGAAGCCGTTGGTATAAACCAATGGCTTCTGTTACCAATTATAAACATTTAATAATATTTGTGGAGATTTCATAGTTGATATAAAATATGTATTTATCTATATTATTTAATGAAACATGTATGAGTATATATATATATATGTGTGTGTGTGTGTGTGTGTGTGTGTGTGTGTGTGTGTGTGTGTGTGTGTGTGTGGTTCTAGGGATAGATAAATCAAACGGCCAGATATAAGCAAGGGTATACGCGCGTGCTGGTGTGCATACACGGGCAAGCAGGTAAATAATCGACAACTTTATACATGAGGTGTAAACATAATAGTGCTCGATGTGGTTAGACAGAGCAAAGATATATGTTAATATGTTAATTAGTATACATATGTGTACCTACGTTTTACTGTACATAGGTACACGTATATGTACTAATCAATATACATACAGGTATATGTAATAATATATATATATATATATATATATATATATATATATATATATATATATATATATATCGAGGGGGAGAGAGAGAATAGTCTTAGATAGATAGATAGATAGATAGATAGATAGATAGATGAATGAATAGATACTCTCATACATACATACATACATATATATATATATATATATATATATATATATATATATATATATATATATATATATGTATATGCGTATATGTATACATACATACATACATGCATAGAGGTGAGAGAGAGAGAGGAGAGGGAGAGATGAACAATTTTGGATAGATATATAGATAGATACTCTCATACATACATACATATATGTATATGTATATGTGTGTATGTATACATACATACATAAAGAGTGAGAGAGAGCGAGAGAGAGTGAGAGATAAGCAATTTAGATAGATAGATAGATAGATAGATAGATAGATAGATAGTGTGTATGTATACATACATACATACATACATAGGGAGTGAGAGAGAGCGAGAGAGAGTGAGAGATAAGCAATTTTGGATAGATAGATAGATAGATAGATAGATAGATAGATAGATAGATAGATAGATAGATAGATAGGAAAAAAGGACATTTTCCCTGCAGCATGATTTTCATTAACCCCACAGGATTATCTGTTCGTCGTCAACACAAATTATTTCCTCCATGAAGAAATTACCTTCTTCCCTAGCTGTTCAAATTAAGAAACAACTTGAAATTTGCTCATTTTTCCACATTCCAAAAATTGTTCATTATTTTTTTTACCTCAATTAGCGGAGAAAATTACCAGTGAATGTCAGAACGCCTTCATTAATGACTTTCCGTCTCACTTGAACTGTTGAGCGGGTTGTTATTACTTGGAACCTGTCATATCGCGTAAACTATTTAAAAAACAAAGAAACTTGAAGATTAACTTCGACGCTGGGTATTCTTCACTTAATTAAATATTTATGATTTCGAAAGAATATAAGAACTCTTTAATCTACGAGAAATGTATAAAAAATATCCATTGTTTTTTCAAGAGTTTACGGTTTAAAATTTCAAAGTTAACTTTACCAGTCTTCGAAATTTATTCAGATACCATCGGAAATATGTAAAGCATTAAAAAAGACATCATTTGCAAGAATGGACACTATTTTATGCTTATGGTGAAAATAGTAGTAAACATTTTACTAACTAGATTCTCGCTATTGTACGAAAGTCAATTTCTAACGACGCAATTTAACTTTCGTTTTGGTTAGGCGTGTAATGATGGTATATACAGCGTGATTGAAAAGTAACTCCCGTTTTAAAATACTTATAATTTATTTGTTAACTATAATTTTTACAAGAAATAGACATGAGAGAAAAGCGTTTAGCATAAGGTTTTATTTAAAATTCAATATGGCCACCAGATTTCGTTCCAGTTTTTCGAGCCACCCCGGAATGGCGTCAAATGATTTCACCAGGAACTCTTGTGGTATGGAAGACATAACTTCTTGTATTCGCCCTTCATGTTCTTCGAAAGTCTTGGTTTGCTACAGTAGACTTTTTCTTTTAACTAACCCCAAAGAACAAAGTCACAGGGTATTAAATCGTGATTTCTGGCTAGCCACTGTGACATAAAAAAGGGAGTTACATTTCAATCAACCTGTATACATCATGAAACAACTCCAAGAGATTGCATAAATCCCAAAATGCTATGTAGACCTCACAACAGCCTATAACCACATCAATAGAGACTTGCTTTTTTCGGCCTAGAGAGCGGAGTTCCAGTTCCAGTTGGATTCGTTATATTCACTGTTGCATCGGAATATCAAAGGTTGCCTTCCAGAAGATAAACCAAGTATAAAAATAACAGAAACATTTCCTTAGAAATAAAGAAAAGAGTGTTAAACTGTGATGAAATGTCTATCTTCCGCTAAGACAGTGACTGCTGGACAATCTCCTCACATAAATCAGCAATGTTATCGGTCCTGACATCACGCCTTGGCTTCAGTCACTCACCCACCGCCATAACGTAGATTCCCAGTGCCTTCTCTATAATTACTTCCATGGTAATTGTTGTGTTGAGCTTTCCTCTTTGTTAAATCGACTTTGCGAATTTAAGCGCAGTACTAGATTGGCGGGTAGGTCTCATCATTTTACAGTTGAAATGGCTACATGCAACTGAATGTTCCATGCTAACAGTTTCACACTTCTCGCCTGTAAAACTCTTTTACGGCTTCTTGTTTCCCTGTCATCTTTGATCTGCAAAATTTTAAATGCAATGTCAATCGTTATTTTTCTGTCATCAGTTCACTTAGTGTCCTCTCTCGTTAATAACGTTTTATTATTTTTCACTTATTCTTTCACGTTTAGTAACCCTTGCGTCTTAGTGGCTTCATCGCCTTGCATGGGGTGAGATGATTCAGTAACAAAATATGGACAATATCTGTCTATATTTCTGACATGAGGTATGTAATTATTTACATTGTTAGACTGTTGCCCTTATCTTTATTGCCATATTCACGACGTTTCGGCCGTTGTACGCTCCGGTCTTTGTCAGGTGATATATGGCCCAGTGGATAAGGGTTAGTTGCATCTAGTGACTCTACCCAAAGGGTTGTAAGTTCAATACCTGGCTACGGCAGTGGTGAACAGAAACGTAGAGAGTTGACTTAAAGAGAGATAATTGAGACATCTAGAAAAGGCATGACACAGGGAATTAGAACAATCTACCCCGATGGACGAAATAAAGGGTGCAGTTCGAAATTCCAAAGCACCCACTTCATGAGTATAAAGCTCTCGAGATGGGAAGCAGGAATGCTATTTTCAAAAATTTTCTTATCTCAATTATGAATATCTATGTCATTGGTTAGTTCTGGGTATGACGATAAACTCCATCCGGCAGCAATGTCTCTGATTGAGAGACTGGAAGCCTTGTGGAGCGTGAAACCACTTCTTAATTGCTGTTGTTTCCAGGTCCAACCTGACCCGGAGTGGTAGCATTCTGTTAGGATCCCAGCTATGTGCAAATAGTGAACCTCCAAACAAAAACAATAGAAAAGTATAAAAAATACATTTTAAAATAATGCAATAATTGTCAAATAAAAAAAATTAAATTTGTATGAATAATCTTGTTTCTTGCAAGAAGAAACAAGTTTTCCGTCCTCGTTTGATTTCGTAAGATTATTTGGTAAAAAAGTATTATGGGATCTTACCCATAATAATAATAATGGACTATTCCATACTTAAAAATACTGTGCCTCAGGAGTAGGCAAGGAGTTAGTCAGTAGGCGGAGTCAGTAGTTCAAGTCGAGTCAAAAGTCGAGTCAGAGACAGTCCGAAACAGAGTCGTGTTCAGATAATTACTGCAAGACATTGGAATAGCAATACTGATCGAGACTACATTGTTCTCTCTACTAAACCTGATTGTTCATACTAACACTTCTACTTCTCTGTATATATTCCTGTTTGTAATATATCTGTGTTATTCCATATCCGTATTCGAGTTCTTCTTTATTGGTTCTACCTTGGACTATCACCGTGGTACAAGGAACCGGACCATAACACTAAGTAATTTTAATTTAGTCATAAAATAATGTAATTCACCAGAATCTATATCTATAAAACAGATGTCTGTGTGTGTGTCTGTCTGTGTGTGTATGCTATTTATGCATGTCCACATTTCTCAACTGATTCCGATGAAATTGCACACACGTTGTAATTTTACCAAGGTAGATCAAGACCATCTTTTTAATTTCCAGCCCACCTTCTCGGGTTTGGCAGAAAAATCAATAAAACTGCAGAGTTTCACGCGAACAACATTTTTACTGGATGAGCTGATGCTCTTTGCACAAATATGCAAAATATCAACTTATGTTACGAGGTTTATGTAGAGTGCTGGATAGTTCTCCTGCGTTATTGGCTTCACACAAAAAAACCTGTGAAAAAATCGGATTTTTCGTACCACTTAAAATAAAATCTGGAATAACTTCCTCATTTTTTATCCGATTTTCTTCAAACATATCACAAAATATTTGCCATTAAGCAAGAAATAAGATAATGTGGTTTGGGCCCTGTTTTCGCTTTCTCGTGCATATCGAAAAACCACGAAAAACTGTTCAAAAAACCTTTTTCGGCCATAACTCTCTGTTTTTTTTTTCATTCTATGCTTTGCCATGCAAATTACATATAACACAAATTGTCTTGCATGAATGTTTAGTTTAGATTGTTACAGTTAAGTGGACGAGGTCTGCAACAAACTAGCTCCAAAATCGGCTTTTGGAATTTACTCAATAGTTTCTTCATATGATTCCTTCCTAAATTGTCATTGCCCCCAATCCTCTTCATGAGTATACAGACCTCGGCAGGAAAAGCGGGAATGCTGTTTTCTATTAGTAGAGTCATTTAGTATTGAGTATGAAATGCTTAAATGATCAGCGTCCATCTCTTCGCATCTGTGCGTGTATATACGCAGAGATGAGTCTAGGAGGGGATTAAATAGATTAGGGATCCCATTTTCACCGTGTTGTACATGTTGATGACGTTTGAAATATTTTAATATGTGGATTTTCGCCAGACATGTATAATTACTCTCCAAGCTTAACAGAAGAATCGTGATGAAATCGATCATAAAAGAAAATCACATGTTCATCATTAATTAATCATAGCTAAGGATCGGAACCTCATGGAGTATTGAAATAAAGTTCCAATATATATATATATATATATATATATATATAATTCCAGCATCATTTTCTAACAAGATTATCTTCTTCCTCTCTAACTTACTAACTTTCTGTCCTGGAGTAAGAAGTTGCATCACACGTTTCATGTACGATTTCATTTTCATGTCTTTTTTTATTGCTCTTTGGACTGTCATTGTTGAAACTCCTCTTTCACGACCCAAAAATCTTATGGATTGAGTTGGATGTTTCTAATTGACCTCTTCAGCACTAAGTTGACATGATGACCCCCTCTTCCTGTTGTGACCGCCTGATACAGCTTTCCTCTCTACTGTTCCTTCTTTCTTAAACATATTTTCCGTTCTCTTGCTGGCATTTGAATGAACTTTGAAGATGGGAGTCAGAGTATGAATGTTGGTACCATTACTGAAGGCCAGAATGCTCTTTTTCCTCACACTATTGCTCAGTTGGGAAGACAATAGGGCTGACAAAAAAACGATTTTAACCTATTCCCTTTCTAGCTGAATAAGTCAAAGAGTTTTTTAATTGATTTTACGAAAAATGATGTCAAGATGGCTAAACGTCTTATCTAAAAACCTCGAAAAAAGAAACACAATTAGTTCAGTGAATTTTTAGATATTAAACATTTTGTGACATGAAGAATTATGCTGCTACACGATTTGGACATTTTTGCTGTTACACTCGATATATGTGATATGATATGTATAAGATTGCTTATTTATCTATTGTGTTAACGTTACGGTTAATATTAATAATATTATTTCATTGCTAGCTTTACTGTATCATATTATGCATGCTTTTTGTCATAGCACTCTGGAAAGAAAGATTCTTCGATCGCTCTGTCAAGCAAACTAAAAATAAGAAAATAGATATTCACTTTAGCACCCAACGCTATGGGAACTCATTTTTCTATGAAGTTCGCTTT